AGTTGAATGGCCACTCCTGAAGCCTGACTGGTTAGGATCCAGTTGGTTGTTCTGTGTAAGAAATAATGAAACCTGGTTAAAAACAACTCATTCTAGTGTTTTTGCTATGAAAGGAAGGAGAGAGACAGGTCTGTAGCTATCTGTAAGTGAAGTGTTTAATGTAGGTTTTTTGAGCAGTGGGGTTACCCGAGCCTGCCTGAATGCAGTGGGGAAAGTTCCTGTGAGGAGAGATGTGTTGATGATGTGTGTGAGTGGTGGTAAAACTACTAGAAATCAAAACTAGATTTATAATGAATAAAAAATGTTTCATATATATACTGTATATACACAATTTTTTTTTGCCTATTTTTTCTATCTTTTTCTATATTCTATTTGAAATATAATTTTTTTACTGTACGGGTCAACTCAGTTAAATTGATTCAGTTTACTTCAATAACAGTGTGAAGCAATTACAAAGCAAACTCAATTCAACTATAAAGCAATAGAAGATAATAGTGACATTATTCAACTGCAGTTCAGTGTTGATTCCGTTTAGTTCAATAATAATGCAAAGTTCATCAAATTATGAAACAAGCTTAATTCAGCTTTAAAGTAGCTCTACAGAAAACAATAGTGAAGTTTTTCAGCTTGAGTCAGTTCAGTTGCATTCAGTTCAATAACAGTGTCGATGTTGCCAAGCTCATCAATTATGAAACGAATGCGATTCAGCTATAAAAGAGGAAAGCAACTGTCCTATAACAGCTTATCAGAGCGTCACCATTCTAACTTTATATTAACTGATCATGCGCCACAAGAGATGCATAAAGTTGATTTTCACACTTGGACCTGCGAGAACGAGCGCGGCCCGGACACGTAGGATTTATGACAGCGATAAAGTGTGATACGCGTCTCCGTCCCCAGAGTCACGGCGCTTATTGTTCAGCTCTTTATTTCACCTTGACTCAGTTTTTGTGCCGCAGTAACCTGTCTCTCTCCGCCTGGCAGACAGACACAGCGCACGTCTCCTCCGACAGAAGTGGCCAAAACAAACTGCTGCTGCTTTAGTTTGGCAGCGTCCAGGGTTTCCACGAGGATCTCATGCGGTGGAGAATGTAGTTTTGAAACTTCTGGAAAAGCCCAAAGCGCTGGCTGTTTCCCAGCTGAGGAGAACGTCGCTTAAATTCAGCGTACGACTCGAAAGTGTGAGAAAGGTTTGCGGACGCCGGTCCAAGAACCACAGAGTGTTAATATTAGAGCTCGGGGGAAGATTTATTTAGCCAAATATGCTACAAAATGGATCGTCTGCTGACCAAAAGTGGCTTGGATGTTGAACTAAGCCGCTTTCCAAAACGTCACGCTGTCTTATTTTGTGGGAAAACGAGAAACCACTTCCTCTCATAGAAGAGTTTCTCTCGCAGTTTTGTGTTAATGTTGTAAAAGCTTCTTCTGTCTCGCTCCTATTCTGTGTCTGCAGTTCCCAATAATCATAAATTATCAATGCATCTCAGCATTTGAAAGCACATTTTGGGAAAAGTGCTGTTCAAATAAGTACAAATATTTCACACGGTCTCTAAATTAATATGCGGTCATGAAAACTGCAAGCACAATAATTATAATAGAGTACAGATGTGGTTCCACATGAATGCTACAAATTTAATTAATAGCAGGAGGTAATATTGTTCTGCTTTTTACCGTAAAAGCTTGAAAATATTGCATTTACTTCCTGATTAGCAACATTTCCAAGAGATGCTCATTTAGAAATGGATTGTGTGAGACTTTTTGACAAAAAATGATAGACTATTAAGATTTTTAGTGCAATATGTGCATAGTCCAGAAAAATAGATAAATTAAATATATTTAAATATATTATTTTTCTCCACATTGTGGATATGCATTTCTGTATTTCACTGAGACATGAAATTGTGAAAATTGATTTTAAAAAAAAGTATTATTTTGTTTATGGATAAAGTTTGTGTTTTTTCGCTGTCTTGCAAAATTATGAAAATATTAGAAAAAAATGACAAGTTATAATAGAATTTGACAGAAGTAGTTCTGCATACGTTACAAATTTGATTAATAAGATATTGTATTTGCTTTCTGATAAGCAACTAGAAATAGATGCTAGACATAGATTGTGTGATACTATAATTTATTTACTAAATATTATAGACTTATTTATATTTTTATTTCAATATGTGCATAGACCAGATAAATATTGTTTTTCTCCACATTTTCATATACATTTTTATATTTCACTGTTCATGATGAGACTTATACATTTTACTTGAAATTTACTTGAAGAAATAGTGAGTATTATTTTGTTTATTGATAAAATTTGTGTTTATCTCTGTTCAGCCAAATTATGAAAATATGAGAGAAAAAAAATGTCAGTAAAGTTACATGTCAAGTTAACTGCTCATATTCTCAGTAAACTAATACATAAATGTTCTATTTTAGTGTTATTTCTAGTTATTTCTCATTAGGTTTACATGATGCATACATAATTGTAACATGAACATATTCGGATGTTAACTGAACACTGTTCATTGCTTCGTTCTGCAGGGGACTGATTTCACTTGAACATGAAGTGTATGTACTGGAGCCGATGGAAGAGGGAAACACACACCGTCTTTACAGAGGAGAACATCTTAAACTCACCCAGGGAACCTGCGGACACGGTCACAACATTTCATACCCTACAGAGATGATGAACACTACAGGAGCCGTCTTCAGCTCTCACAGCAGCCAGAAGGTGAGTCCAACAGAAACACAGCATTGTGTTTAACTTCTCTAATGTGACACATTTCTGAATAAAACGGAATATTTAGCTGTAAACAATGTAGGGTTGGGCTTTTATCCATGATGATTGAAAGAGAGCTGCAGTAACAGTGACTCAGCCAATGGCATGTGTTTGGGGCGGGACTATCTGTTTGCCTGACCAATGACAAACCAAAGAATGACCAATTAAGCAGATATAGGGCAATACAAATCTGAGAATACTTGAAAGACTTTCCCTCAGCTTTAGCTCTTTATCATTTTACTGCACACTCGGTGGCTTCTGAACTTGCACTATTCCATTTTTATTTTGTTTACATTTTTATTTATTTAAAATTGTATTTTATTTTATTGTTATATTTGTTGTATATATATTTGATTTGAAATACATCACATTACAGAAATAAAATAGCTTGTTTTTTGACCAGCCCAATAGCAACACTGAATCAGTCAATAGAGTGAGTTTGGGGGTGGGACTATCTGTTTGCCTGACCAATGACAGACAGGTGGGGTGTTCAGGAAACCTGTTCTGTTTAGTGAAGCTACTGATGCATAAGGCGACAGATCTCTCTTTGTTTGGTCAGTTTAAGGACACCCGAGGATGCGTTCAGTCTCTCGCCGTGGGCACTGAAGTGTTTAATATGACAGAAATGATTGCTGTGTCTGAACGTTGACATTGAATTCAGCCTCTTTCAGAATCTCAATACAAATTAACTGTTTACACACAAGAGAGTCATTTTTTAGATTTTCCTGAAAAGCATTTATCCACCATTTGCTACACACACAGCCGTTTCTGTGCCCGATGTTGTTGCTGATTCAATTTAGGCGTTTATTACGTTTCATCAGATCAGCAGATATCGGTCTTGCTGTGGAAGTCAAGTGTTTTTATTCAGTTAGACGCTTATCAGCTTCCCTCTTCAAAGTGAAACAGGTGAAACAGTCTGCTAGGCGGTACGACCCTAATTCTTCTCAACACGAAGCCTGACACAGATGAGTCCGGCCTTTTATTTCCATTAACGGAAGACCAGTCACTGGAAACAATGAGAGACAGCTTCCATTGAGAGCAAGAGGACTGATGCTGAATGCATGAAGACGAGGGTCACCTTCATCTTAGGCTGGACTCTGTCGCATTTATACTGTCAAACAGCTTTGAGTTTGGATTGGATTGGAAATTAGATCCTGTTGCATGTGTTTAAACAGCCTGTACACATATGTGACCCTGGACCTTAAGATCTTAAGTCGCTGGGGTATATTTGTAGCAATAGCCAAAAATACATTGTATGGGTCAAAATTATAGATTTTTCTTTTATGCCAAAAATCATTAGGATACTAAAGATGCCATAGAATGGAAAACTGTATTTACCTTGGCATAGTTGAATAATAACAGTTCTGTACATGGAAATGACATACCGTGAGCCTCAAACACCATTGTTTCCTCCTTCTTATGTAAATCTCGTGCATGCAAAAGACCATTGAAAAATAGGCAAATCAGAACATAACACCGACTGTGACGTTACAGTCGGGATCACTAATAGTTATGCCCCCAACATTTGCATATACTATGTTTTATACCATGTTCTATGTCAGCCGCCAGCCGAACCTGCACAGCCGAATCATCAGAAGTTCTGCAGGTATTGTGAAGAAACAAGCGAGGATAATAGC